TACTCTTACATCAAAAAATGCAGTTACTCCCTGTGCCCAAAACGATCCAGCTTTGATGTCGAGCCTTGCATCCTGACTTGTGCTAGTAGATTTTAGATTAAATTGTTCGCCATCCAATGGGATAAGCTGTGGCTCCTTTTGAACGTTGTTGCAAACCTTGTTTAAAAGTATGGCAAGCAGATCACGGACGTTGTCATGTCTTTGTGCAACAAATCCTCCCTTTTTACAAGATAGTGCATGGCTTACCGAAAAGGTTGTCCCACAAGCGCAGGTACTTGGTAAACCCGATAACGGTATATTATAACGCAGACAAAGAGAATCTCTGAATTCTTGTTTATTCAAAGTAAGTCCCTGTTCTTTAATTGGTATCGCATTGAGCCATGAGCTTGCTCCTTTGTCTCTTGCTTGGGTTACTTGACGGAGTATGTCAGGTGGTAATGCTGCATCGATTTCATCGACTTAAACCTCAAAAAAAATATCGTGCAACCTCTTCTATTAGAAGAAAAATATCTAGCTGTAAGCAAAAAAATAACGTGCAAGTGTTGAGCCAAACAAATAAATATCATACAACTAAAATTCCTGCAAACCCTCCATCAATTATCTAATGGTCCATCCTTTATGCAAACTTACTTACCACACACAAATATTCTTTTGTTTTTCTAATACTTGGATTTTTGCTATTGCTGGCTTTCACTTGACGAATCACGTTTGACCACCATGTGGAGCAGATAATGAGATTCAAAGACTTTTATCAGCTGAGTGAAAGCCAGCAATTCCTTTTCAGTAATTTAAAAGAATTGATTTTTCACTGGTCAACTAACGTTTCACGTTTGCCGTGAGAATAACATGAAAAACGGCTAACGATCATGGCAATTGCCATATTTATTTTATTTTTCAGCTACTTTAACTAGCTTTCGTCAAATAATGTGAGTTTTATAAACTGCGTCATAGGAATTAGGTTGAACAATGGGCTCTGTGCTCTCTGCTATTCTGAAATCAAATTAGAAACGGTGATAATAGCCTATTCAACTCGTGCCGTCCAACTGATTCATGGTTACGACTCAGACAATAGCGAACCAGTCACCCTTGCAGCAGTTTTTTCAGTGTAATGAAATATTTTCCCACAAACAACTATACAGTATCTGTTTTAAAGAGTACTACAAGGTGTCCGAGGCAATTTTCTATTCTGTTTGCAGGATAGTAAGCTATCAAATGAAAACGATTTATAATCATTATTTTCCGAGTTTTAAATTCTAAGATATTCTAAATAATGTGATAAGATTGTTGGACATGACAACGGTCTTTAGTATAGAAAGTACRGTTTGGTTCCCCCTTAACCATATAAACGTGGAATTTTTGGAAATTATCAATGAAAATGGACGAGTGTTGCAGCCATGTTGGATGGCAAGAAGACTGCAATACTTTTTGCCTAACGTATGTAATTTTTTCGTGTTATTTTTCTATACTTTAGCCCCACAACATGGTTGCCATCTAACAACATCTAAACGTCAACTAAACTTGTCATAGAATGCAACGACTATTGTAACCTATTGTTTTCAGCCAATCACAGGCTTAAGGTGCTGACACACGGTGCAACATTGCACGCAACAGGACTGTTGCAGCGTGTCTACCCCAAACTTGTTGCACGCAACGTTGCATGCAACAAATCTGAAGTTGAATCGCGCTCTACTCTTGCAACATTGCGCGCAACAAATTTCATCATGTGAACATGTCTGCAACATTACCTGCAACATTTTTGAACTTCCAGCCAATCACCTAGCACCAAATTTATAACTGCTGACCAAATATCTTAACATAGCAGGCTCACACAAGCGATGTTGCGTGATTTTGTTGCAATGTGTATCACCCCGATTCAAATTTGTTGCTTGAAATGTTGAGTGCAATGTTGCACCGTGTGTCAGCACCTTTAAAGGATCCCAATTAAGCCAATCAGATTACGACCCTAAAACTAGATGTTTTTTGAATGGCAAAATCTTGGGCTATGCGATTTTTTCTCTGTACTGTGGTCGCACAGCCAATCAGAATGTAGCATTTGTAATAGATTGATTTTCCTTTGCCCGTGTAAGAGTAGTGAACGTAATAAATGGTAGTGGACACTAATTCCATTGTTTTCTTTTGTTTTACTTTGACTATTACCCACTAATAATACGACTTTGTTCCACGGGCCAAGTAAAATCACTCCAGACCACTAGTATATTTATGTGACCTCTGTAAAGGCTGGTTTGGACGGTACAATTTTCACCTACAACTATCGTATACAACACGCTCGCGCCATCCTACAACTCGAGTCGTAGCGTGCAATTCAAGCCTACAACTCGCCTACGACAGATGCGATAGGCGAAAATAGTACCGTCTAAACCGGCCTTAAGCTAATCAATACCACAGGTAGCCCAATCTTTCTAAATGGATTTGAAAAAGTAAATTATTTAAATACTGTACAAATAATTCAATTATATCTACAATATGTTGGAGATTCGATAATAATTCATATATATTAGTTATTGCATGCATTGGAATCATAGTTACATAAGTTAATCAATAAAAATTCTTATTTTGTGATTAATCTTGAGAATGAAAAAAGGGATATGGCCGCCAGATTAATAGGTGCGCCAAATATCCATGAAACAAAACAAAGGATGTATCAGGCATAATTGTAATTTTTCGTACAAAACAGTGGATATAACTGGGGCAGGACATTGCATCTCTGTTTGGTTCATGCCTGAGTGAATTCAACAACTAAATTAATAGTTGTGTAGTTCCAGAAATCATCCATACCCACCGGTCCCACAGAGGAATTTGGAATTTCCGAAGAGTAGGGGGGTCAGAGAAAGAACAAAA